TGAAAGAAAATATTCAAAATTAAAGTCCATGGATGATGAATGTCTAACAGTGAAGGTAATTAGAGCATGTCTACTTTATGGGATAAAACACAAGGATAAAAAATAATGCCAGAGTAACACAGAAAATCCTTACTTTTCACAATTGCCCATACATTATGGCATTTCCAAGAAACTAAAATCTTCAGCTCTGATCTGTTGAGTCAAACTCAACTCATAAATAAGATCACCTGAGTAAAATCTGTAGACTCAAGCTGGTGCGCATGCGCACAGAGAATAATCTGATTATTGCTGATTAGAAATAAAAGACACAAAAAAGCCGCTCATGCGTCCTGGAGCTAGCAGTCCTCCTCGCTTTGCATCATGGACAGGAAGAAAGAGCACACGCTGGCCCAAGAGCTGCCGCAGTACTCTTCAGCCGTTTTGCCGTGGTCCGCGCGCCGCCTCATGCACGCTGTCGTTGCAGTGGAGGTGGAGTGAGATGATGGGGGCGGTGAGGGAGGCTGAGTCCCCGGGTCTCCGGACTGAGCGGAGACACGGGAGCTCGAGATGTCCAGCTTGAAGTGCGCACTTCGTGGCGCGCGCTTACACATCCCGGCCCTCACCAGCGCGCGCTCGTCCTTGCACACTTTACCTTGGAGCCGTTTAAGCGCGCGTGCCACCTGCTTCCAAAAGTTTAGGGGCTCGGACAGGTAACCCGGGCAACCCCGGGGTTTGGCGTTGTATTCACAGCGCAGGTCGGCGATCCCGCCTGTGACGCGCGCCTCCGGGTTCTCGCATTTGACCAGTAGCTGGACCGCGTCCCTGACTTCGCTGGCAACCCACGTGCACTGCATCCTTTCCTTTGTGGAGAACTTTCCCCGGCCACCCGCCACACCCACCTTGGACACGGCTCTGTCCGATTTTCGGGCACCGCAGGACAGAGAGACCAGCTGTCCGAGGAAAGCCAGCAGCAGCCAGGGAGCTGAAGCCTTTAGTAGCAGCATGATGTGTTTCAGCAGAGTAACTTTCCACCTGAAAGCAAATATATGTCTATAAATGGTGACACTCAAAAAAAGTGCAGCCGAAATGTCTCAACACCGAGGTGCTGTTTCTAACTCACCGACAATGGCTAGTTTTGGCGTGCGTAAAACTTCTTCTTGTGCTGCTACTGGCGTGCCACATGGCTTTCATACATAGGTACTATCACGCCCACTGCTTCCGTCCCGCACACGCACCCCCCCCC